TTCAGCTCCTGCCATTTAGAAAAATTCATCCAGCGTTTTTGAACGTTTTTATGGGTTTTTAAAGTCATACAGTGAATTTGCGGGTGGTCGTTTTGCCCTTATGATAATAGAAATCAAATTTTGGATATCAGCTGCCTTGATAGTTTTTCATAGACACTTGGAAATCCTAATTGAGGTTCCCATGTTGTAAGAACCAACCTAGTAATCTTGTGATACATTGTTCATCTCACTTCTTGAACCTTTATTGGTGAGTTGCTTCTTCGATCTAAGGCCTGTGTAATAGAAGAGTCTGAAACTAATTTTAAGGGTTTTACGGGTTGTTGCTATGTAGATGTGCTTTCACACACTAATTCCGTTTTTTTATCACCGTGGATGTGTTAAATACGTAAATGACAAATATAGTTCTGTCAACCGTGAAATAAATATATTAAGTACAATGTGCGGCTCGTGATGATTGGAAGTGGTTGTTGCTCTGATACAATCGTTAGATTGAGAGAGATGATCTACTTCTTTTTTCCCTTCCGGTCGGAACATGACACTACTAATCTGGATCTGTTCCAGCAGTGATTTTACGTAAAAAGACCATTCTTGCTATGGGAAGGCGAGACTTGATGGAAGTAGCTTTTCTTGTGGGAAATTTTTGACGGGTTCTCATTCGTGGATGCATAGGGAAGGGTCGGCTTTACTTTTGAATTGTTAGTTTTGGGCCCTACATGAAGTGAAGTGAAATAGCTTTATGGTATGTCTTCGTCTTTCTACGTCTTATTTCTATATGTTCAGAAGTACTGCTCGTCTTAGGTTGGGTACAGGAAAAATTCTGTGAAGTCCCAACAAGCTGTCAGCTTATTTAGCTGTACTTTTGTGGTCGTTTTTCTGTAATAAAGGTTAGTGTGCTTTTCTAATGGGAAGTAGCATTTAAGGCGTAAATCAAGTTGCAATATGAGGCGGGTTTGGGGCGGTTTTTGGTTTAGTAAGTAGAATCTTTAGAATCTTGTATCCAGTTGTAATCCCATTCATAGATTCTTTACTTGAGGTGCAATAAAATCTGCAGTTTTTTCTTCAGACTACGGACAATATTATCACAAAATCACATTGATCAGTTGAACAACCAAAGGTTGGATTTCAGTAGTAAATTATCAAAGCGAATCATATGGAATCTTGAAAAAAATTTGTAGTTCAAATTGAAGAATGCAGATTTTTTCACGGTTTTCTCTTTTAAGTGGTATGATGATCATGAGCGAAGATTACTTTCTGTATTTTTATACCAGTTCCTCGTAAAAATTCTCTTATGAAGCGAGACTTGCTCTGAACACTGTAGTTTTCAAAAACTGTGACAATTCTTGTCGGACTATATCCGCCTTCAGAGCTACAAGAAGAGAAAGAAGATGGACATTTCCATATCTGGCCAAGTCACAGATATCAATCCCAGGTGTAGAAGCAACCGCTCACTGTAGTGTAATCATCATGATCAAGGTCATCATAATTAAGTCCAGTGGGGATCACTATTTGTCACAGTGACCAAGACAGTATTGGTCAGTGATCTAACCTATGACCTCAGGATTATTTAATATTGCAAATATGGAATCATCAACACACGAAATTAGTGGTAACGTATTCTGATGGCTGTTGAATAAGCTGTCAAGTTATGACTGAATTATGTGGAGTTAGATTGCTGAATATCATCTTAATTTCAAAACTTGGAGGTCGTCTGCAGCACTATATAAGAGAATTTTGAAGTGGAATTAGATCATTCTTGCTTTCTTCGTTGTCTTTTCCAATTTTTTTTCATGCTCTTTGTAGAACTATCTATGGTTAAATGCTTTGTTTGTTCTTATGATAACTCGTAGTCTTTGTAAAACTACCCATGTTCATATGACCTGTTCGTTTTTTATGATAACTAGTAACATATAACCGTTGCCTCTGCAATTAAGTTGCTACCATTCGTGGTTCAATCACTCAAGTTTGAGGTTTGGAAAAAAAATTCGTCGAATCCAATAAGTCTCGCGCGGCAGACATAATATTACTCAGAAGTTCTACTGGCGATAGGAGTTTGAATCTAGTGAAGGAAAAAGAAGATTAAATCCTAAAAATCAACAACCTGAATCTCAGAAGATCTCGTCAATCAATCTACTCCCCACAGAAAAAAGGGAAGCATTTTTTTTTTTTTACAGCAATCTCCGAATTCACAGGACACGCGAGCTTTTGGAAAAAAAAGTAAGAATCCAAAACAACAGATTGTTGTTTGGTATTTGTGCTGCAGTTTCAGAGATGAAATTGGAATTGATGACAACCCTTTGCAGGAAATTATTGGACCAAAGATCTAGCTGAAAACAGTTGCTAAAATGACCTTTGCTTTAGAAAATTCAGTCATATTCGCTTTTTGCATGTTTTGATGACTTAATTTGGAAAACTTGGAAAAAATGCTGGCGGCAATGCTCAACTGTGTAATCATATCCTCAACAATTTGAGTCATGACGGTATCTTATGGAAAATAAATAATCTGCAACTGTAAAAAACCTTTGCTCCGTCAAATTCCAAAATTCTTGGATTTTGCTCGTATTGGTTACCTAAAAAACTTTTGTCCTGCACTTCTGGTCAGCCTTTAACTTAACCAGTTAACACATAATGGGTCCCAATGTCATTAAACAATAAGAATAAAATTAATAGAATTTTGCAATAACTATTTTTGAATTCTAATCGTTCAGCAATGACCAACTAGGCCAAGCACTTTTATTCAAAGTAACAACATGAACGCCATCTTAATTTAATAAACAAAACTTTTCTGTAGAAGGGAATGTACGAGAAGCAGGCAACGAAATAAAAACACGTTGTTCTGTAGTTTTACTCGTCAAGATCCTTCAAATTTTTTCTCTGTGGGTTATGCAAGTACGAAGATAAAACTGACTTCAACAGAAAAGTATACTGAGAACAAGTAGAAACTGGAACATGATTTACAAAATATACACTTGCAACATGAAAAAATCAAAAATTACACATGCAATAAGGGCACCTGAAACTTCTAAATAGCCGCAGGTAAACAACAACAATAAAGCCAAAAAATTTTCAACAATTTCCAAATAAACAAATATAAAACAGAGGTTTAAGACATTGCCAATAATTAATCTAGGATTTAACTGAGATGCACTGAAGTAATAAAAACAACTCACGACAACTACGTAATTACAAGCAACAACGCTAGCGGGGTCTAAATGCATTTCTCTCTTCTCTCAAATACCTACACAACAAATTCCCACAATCAAAGCTTTCGTGATCAAATATTAAAAACGAAACAATAAAACGAAAAAATGAACAGACAAACAATTTCATCAAAAAGTACACAAAAATACGGTTACAATCCCTGCAATTTCCTAACGCTAACCCAAGAAGGTCTTTTATAACGCTGAAAGACAGAGACAGATAAATAAAAAAAAAAAGTGATATATCTATAAGTCTCATGACCAGTATTGTGATGCTCAAAAGATGTTTCAGAAAAAATAAATTACTCACAAATCCAGAACAATAAGAAAGCTGAAGTGACTCCCTTCACTTCTTCAGTATGACAATAAATTACTAGGGGTATTCTTATAAATGGTAAAATGGAGTACAACTGGAGGAGTGGTCCGCTTCACGTAAAGATCTCACTACTCTGCACTGTGAAAGAATATTCAAGAGTAACCTTGAACTGTCGGCACAGACGCCTTTTCTAACATGAAATTTTCAGCTACTGGGAGAACTTTTTGCCGAATCCATCCCAATAGTGGACTTCACAAAATTAGCGAAATCACCATTATCGTCAACATCAGCATACAATTTATAGAACTCGTGATTACTGAGGGTTTTCAAGTTTGCCCTTTCAATTGGATTTTTCTTGACGCATTTTTCCACAAAATCAATAAAAATGTCCGAGAAGACGTTACGTGGTAATGATGGTGCAGGCTGCAAAAAGTAGAAATAAAAACAAATTACAGGTATTCTGATATGATAAGAAATTAGCCGTCCGGAAGACCGGTAAACCCATGTTTAAAACGGTAAAACTTTAAATATGTCAAAAGAATGAATCAAAAGAATAAACCGAGCGTACTATAAATTGCTTCGATGTAAAAGTAAAGTGAGGCCGTATTTAGAAACCCTACCTCATTCACAATATAATTTAATAATTCAAAAATTGCCATGCTCTTCGGACTAGTCGCGGGTGCTGAAGGTGGTGGGACTTGACCGTTCCCCAGAACAACATCGTCAGGTTCAATACCAAATATTGTTTGATAATCAAGAGCTGTCAAAGCAGGCAGAGGATACCGACCGACTGAGAGTTCCACCAATGATAAACCAAAACTCCAAACATCGGACTGTACGTTGTAATGGCTTCCAGTTAAGCGTTCTGGCTGGAACAAATAAATGTTAGTCTCAGTTTTCTAAAGATAAAGCAACAGTCCTATTTTACTGTTATTTAGCAGAAAAAAAACGAAAAGGTGACGTGCTTCTTATTACAAAACTGAAATCATACCGCCATATACGACCTAGTGCCAACAAAACTGTTGGCCATGCTGTCTATCAACATTCCAGAAACGCCAAAATCACAAAGCTTAATTTCTCCTCGTGTATTGACCAAAATATTTGACGGTTTTATATCTGAAAAGATTCAAACATGAGAATCTAACAGAACAAACTGCTACGTACAATATCCGTGAAACAACATATATTCCTGCCTAAGGAATAAAAATACTGCACCAAGCAAGAAATAAGATAAAATATCTGGCAAGCACACCTAGGAAAAAATTTAAGACCCCAAACACAATAAACATTATGTAACTTCGAGTACAAAAAATTAATCTAGAAACTGACATCAAAAACTTAACCTCGATGCAGGATTTTATGCTCTTCCTTTAAATATGATAATCCCCTTATTACCGCAACTGAAATGCGACCAACACGTGGTTCACTTATACGTCCAACCTGAAAACGACACCTCTCAAACAAGCTATAAAAAACAAACACTACGAACAACAATGTTTCATCAGTTATAGAAGCCTGCCCGCCTTCAATGTTAAATTCAACATTACGAAAACAAGGCTACGCAGTTTCTAGCGAATTCTAAAAAAAATCTTCCTTTTTTTTATTACTGCAGTCCTACCCTACTACGAACAGTTCTGCCATACAGAGGAAGACTACGCATACACAGAATGTTCCGATAAACAACAAACCTTCTTCAGAACAACATCGAGCGATAAACCATCCATATATTCCATGCAAATAGAAATATCATTATTATCGGTAAAAGCTCCATAAAAGCCAACAATGTACGGGCTATTACAACGGTTTAACACATCAAGCTCCTAAGACGTTCAGCAGATAGAGAAAGTCAAAGGTTTTATTATGAGAACGCTGAAGTACGAATCTGAGTTCGTAAGAGAAAATTTGTTCAGGATTATTAAGCTTTGAAAGTAAATAAATAAAAAATCTAAGAACGATAAACAGAAAAAATGAGAAAAATATCAGATAAAAAACAGTAAAAACCAAAAAAATGACACACACCTTTAGAATTTGATTCCGTACGGAAGGTTTTACTTCAAGATGTACCAATTTTCTAGCCATCGTCACTCTCGTTGGTTTGTATATTACTTTATGAACTACTCCACCGTTCCCATGTCCAAGATCACTAATTTTTTCCAGCATCTCTTCATTCAGCCCGTCGGTCGGCACCTATACCTAATTAAGATGAAAGAACTTCACGTTGAAAACGCTAACGGCATGCAAAAACAAGATAAATTTTTTTCGAGGCGGAAGAGCTTGAAGAAGAAAAACCTAAATACAAGCAGTAAACAACCGAAAGTAAAAAGTTCTTTGGCTGTATGAGGATTTTTTCAGAAAAAAAAATCAAATTACAAATGCACAGAAAAAGTTCCGGTACAGTTCAATGAAGCAGTCTCAATTTAAATAATAATTATTTTCTTTAAGTCTCAAACAACCCAATCTTTCTGTTCACCAAAACCAGTAAGGATTTATAACTCAAACTAAACACACCTACACTTTATAACGAATCATTTCCGCTACAGATTTCAGTGAATGTAAATTACATAAATGTCGACAACAATATCAATCCCTCATTACTTTATCTACAGCTAAAAAAAAAAGATAAGAAAAAAATTGCTGAATAAACAGCTTAATTCTGCTGCTTCAAAATTTAAAAGACATTGTTCCTAGCCAATAAAATCAAAAAAAAAA